TTCAGAACAAGATCATGAGGAATTATGCGTACATACATGTATTTGATGGGTATTGGCGGGGAGGACGTTCCTGAGGGCAGAGGAATGAGGAACCTGTGACCCTGTTGGAGTGCAGCGCTCATCATTTGTCATCATTAGTCACACTGGCTAGAGCTGATGGATTTTAAGATTCCAACGACATCTGAAGATCAAAGGTTCCCTACCCTTGGCACAGAAGGTTTGCTGTGTTCATCAAGTTACAAACAGCTTTTTTGCTAGAATTCAGAAGTGTAACTTTTACCCAGAAGGTCTACCCTGAGCATGACCTATCAGCCCGAGTTCCTCACAACTAAATCCACTGCACGTTTGCCAAGTTCTACGGGACTGAATGCTTTATCCAAGGTCTGTAGATTAAAACTCTGATAATTAATAAATCGACATGCATTTAATTGGACAGCAAAAGGCTGTTAGCAGTTATTTGTCACTTGTAAGAATATAGTAAAGGTAAAGGGACCCCTGACCATTAGGTCCAGTCGTGGCCGACTCCGGGGTTGCGGCGCTCATTTCGCTTAAAGTTAAAGCTCAAAGCTATTATAATTACAGGACTGATTCATTTTACTGATTGTTTATCAGCAATAGGTAAAGGGACCCCTGACCACTAGGTCTAGTCATGGCCGACTCTGGGGTTGTGGCGCTCATCTCGCTTTATTGGCCAAGGGAGCCGGCGTACAGCTTCCGGGTCATGTAGCCAGCATGACTAAGCCGCTTCTGGCGAACCAGAGAACACTGTTTACCTTCCCGCCGGAGTGATACCTATTTATCTACTTGCACTTTGACGTGCTTTCGAACTGCTAGGTGAGCAGGAGCTGGGACCGAACAACGGGAGCTCACCCCGTCGCAGGGATTTGAACCGCCGACCTTCTGATCGGCAAGTCCTAGGCTCTGTGGTTTAACCCACAGCGCCACCTGCATCCCTTTGTAAGAATATAGATTAGCCTATAACAGCTTTCGCCATCCTGGTGCCCTCCAGAAGGTTCACCAGGCTGGCAAGGGCAGACCCGCATCATCTGAGCACAGGTGAGCAGAGGGTCCCTTGGGATGTACAGCTTCCAGAAGTGATGCTATCTCCCCTCCCTGAATCACCCTCCCTCTACCCCTCAAAATGCATGCTCTTACTTTGTGTAGCCTCTATTGGGGCAGGGATGCATTTCCAAGATCCCCAAGCACAACCAATGTAACACAAACGTCAAAAAGTAGGTATTTTAGTCTGCTACATCAACAAAATACCAACCTATAATAAAACTAGTTGCTTCTGTGACACATTTTAAAGGTTGTATTTTAAGGTTAACGAAAGTGGCAAAAACTTCACCCACCCTTTTTGTGTGAAATAAGAAAGCTAGGGAACACTGGAGCAGTTTTTGAGTAGGGCTTTCTCCCTTTCCCCAGCATTTATTCCTTGGGAACAGCGGCATTGCTAGAAATTAGTCCACAGCCTCAAATCTTTTTCAAAGTTTTTCTGGGTGGGTAATGGAGCTGAAGAAACTGAATTGAGCAGGGTGATCTTTGTTACTGGGTAATGTATAAATTTGAGGAATAAATTAAGATTAACTATAGATGATGGGGTAGATATAGGGAAACCAAGATCATTTGGAATGAAATCTGTTGGGAAATTAATTGGGGGTAAATACACTGAAGAGGAATGATTTGGGATCATCTGGGCTGGGGTGCATGTTAATTAAATAATTTATATGGGGTGATTTGGATGGGAAATTAGTTGGCTTGCCTTCTGTGGCATTTAAATTGCAATTTGCGTCTATACAAATAATTTAGCATATGCTAATGTGTGCCTATGGACCAGTGCCCTTAATCTTTTTAAGTACCTAGCAATGTGCTTGCTTGGGAACATTTGCTTTTCTTTTCCCTTTGTTATAAGCTGGCGAATGCACGTTTTCTTTCTCCTGTGAACAGATGTAGTATTAAAAATTCACATTATCAGGATTTTCATTTCTTTGCCAAAACATAAACTCCTTCATTAAAAACAGATAAAAGACTGAGAGGGAAGTTAAACTGAAGGGTGATATAATTAACAGCACAAAAACACTTAAAACTGAAAATAGTGCAGGTCTATACCTTTCACAGCAGATTCTCTCACACACCAGCATCACAAAAGCTAGGAATAAGGCAGTGTCGGTTAGTGGCACGCTGCTTAAGTGAGATTTGGGGTACATCTCCAGGTATTACTCTCAGAATAAATGACTGAGAAAGATCTGTCTGAGGTCCCCTAGTAGATACTTAACTGTACAATGCAAGGTGGAGTATTGGCTTAACTTCTCTGTAACTGTAGGGTTTATATGAATCTTGAGTCTTCCAAACGTGGTATCAGAGGCCTCAGTGACTTGAGTTCCATGTATTCTTTCACCTGGATGTGTGATGTACCTAATGGTCTTTATGAGTGAGTTCTTAGCCTTCTCTGTACCCCAGCACATGCCTCACCTTATCGTAAGGATAAAAATAATAGCCCAATGGATTGTTAGCTGCCACTATCTGCCAAATTTAGTACAGTACGACTCTACCGTAGCTTAGCTAAAAGGTCAAAGCAAGGATGTGAACTGAGATGCTATAGGAGGTTGTTCATAATCCCCTTTGATCAGATCATATCAACTGTACTTTAAATAATTTGATTTCTTAACAAAACATACAGAATTCATTATTGCAGTCTATTTAAATAAATAATAGGAAATTGTTTTAACTTCTGGAATTTCCCTAACAACTGACATAGGCCGATGACTTGTCTTACATGCTACAGCACTAGCTGAGCCTAAAATCAGCAATCTCTCTACCTTCCTGGCAGATGAGCAGCATCAGACTGAAGAACTCACTAGCTGCAGCTGAAGACATAGGATCTGACTATGCATTTATAGAACTTTGCCTGTGAAATTGACACAGTGGCCTAAACTGTGTTGGAATGCTGGCTTGTGTGAAACAAAAGTCAACCCTGATTGCCTACTCAGGAACATAGAAGGCAGGAGGAAACACTGGGGTCTTGGAAAACAATGAAATTGATCTGTGATCTTTTACCCTCTATTTTTCAGAATGCATTTCTAGGTACCTTGTGGAGAAAAAGGATGTAAACAATTTGCAATATACATATGGAGCAATTCAACCATATTCCTGACCAAGCAACGTCGTTACTCCAGGAATCAACAATAGCACCTTTCTTTTAACAAACAGTAAATGCTAACAAAAGGGACGCGGGTGGCGCTGTGGGTAAAAGCCTCAGCGCCTAGGGCTTGCCGATCGAAAGGTCGGCAGTTTGAATCCCCGCGGCGGGGTGCGCTCCCGTTGCTCGGTCCCAGCGCCTGCCAACCTAGCAGTTTGAAAGTACCCCCAGGTGCAAGTAGATAAATAGGGACCGCTTACTAGCGGGAAGGTAAACGGTGTTTCCGTGTGCGGCTCTGGCTCGCCAGAGCAGCGATGTCACGCTGGCCATGTGACCCGGAAGTGTCTCCGGACAGCGCTGGCCCCCGGCCTCTTAAGTGAGATGGGCGCACAACCCTAGAGTCTGTCAAGACTGGCCCGTACGGGCAGGGGTACCTTTACCTTTACCTTTTTTAAATGCTAACAAAAGTACTGTAACTGATATGTTTCTAGTTGCAACCCAAATTGTTGGCCTGATGTATTTGTGCCATATCAATATAATGAAGATGTGGTGCCAAAAAGAACACTCTGGTTAAGCATTGTCTTAAAAAACTACAGGCGACAGAGTTAAACTGTCAGATCCAAAGTGCAGAGAAAATTTTTCAGAAGCCACAAGCTGCTGACAAATTTTGAAGACATGGCTATCTTACTTAAAGCACTAACCAAGGTTATCAGGTCTAGCAGGAAAGAACTAGAAGATTTTCTCTAAGGAATGACCAAAACTGACTAATTTATTTGGTGTCATTAAAAAACATTTATTTTATCATCTCTAGGAGTATTTCACCTGCTCTAACTGCATGGGTCCCAGGTGCTCAGCTCCACACCCTTGCTGCAGAGGATTTTGGTGAGAGCTGGTGTAACACCCTAAAGGGCAAGGGAAAGAAATGCTGCCTTAAATAATCTCGGCTCCATATGGACTCCATGTAATTTCTGCCCTGTACTCGATTTGAGCATGATTTTAGCTTGAGAACCTTTTGTAAGCTGCTTATGAAAGTCTTTCAGAGCTGTAAAGTGGGATATAAATATTCTAAATAATATTTTTTTAAAAAATAAAATCATTCTGATGAGAAAAGTCATCAGGGATTCACATAATTTGCAAAACTCTTCTTTCCATAATAATTCTAGCAAGCTACTGTGTCATCCTCACGTAAATAAAAAACATCCCTCATTTCTATTCCCCATGAGTCTCAAATGACTTCCTTTTTGCTTGCAAGTGAATAAAGAAACAGATGAGAAAATAAACTATATTCCTAACATTTTAATCAGTACTCTGTCTTTTACATCCTCAAAATGTGAGACTCTCAAGAAAGACAGTGACATCTTGATCAATCTCCAAAATAGAAATATAGATTTTAGCTTTTCATCCCTTGCTACAACTCCTAAGCCCTTTAAATAGATATGGAAAACTGCAGACTTCATTTAATCAGCATATTTGGTCATGTAAACTTTAGACATGCTACTTTCTCTTTAATTCTACAAATGATCATCAGTTCCTTTCTGTATATAAGTTGTAAAGGATTGAAATGGTTTATAGTAAATGAAGTAAACATATAGAAAAATGATATCGGTATCACTACAGTTCAACCAAAATACATTAACTGCAAGTTAGTTGTAGAGTGCCATAAGGAAGGAAGTACAACAAGCAACTTTATGAAATGTTATGAAATAAATAATATTTATAAAATTTGGTCCTCACTAAGTACTACAATGAAATCTGTAAACATGCTGTGAACATTTGTGCCGTTTTATAGTAGAAAAACTAAGGAGTAGTTTAAGAGACTGATTACACACTGTAAGGTAACAAGAACCTGAATACTTCTCACCTGTAAGTACAGCTTTTGCAGAGGGATCTGCAAGATCCAAGGCCGACTTCCCATCTGTGTTTCGAATATTTGGATCAGCTCCATGCTGCAGTAGCACTGTGCAAAGGAGGAGGAAAGCTCTGAAAACTGACTTGCAGAATGAATACATTGGCCATAAATAATCCCAGTAACCATATACCGTAATATATTACACACACACACACACAAACAAACAAACAAACAAACAAACAAACAAACAAACACAAAGGCCACAATCAAGAAAGCATCTCCCCCTCCATTTTTGCATTTCAAATGACTTCGAAACATGTTTCAAAAGTATCTTATCCAGGGAGAGGAGAGGGCAGTTGTTGCTCAAAGAAAAAAAGTATCATTTGGCCCATGGAGTTAGCCATGCAGGTCCTGAACATCAAGTATAGTTGTCTTACATAGATTTGCAGTGCCATCTTATACATGTCTACTCAGATGCAAGTCTCATTGAGCTAAACAGGCCTAGCTACCAGAAAAGAGTCCACAGAATTGCATCCCTAGTTATCTTTTTTCCAGAAGGCTAGCAAGCTACAAGGACTTACCAGACAATTATTAGACTGTAAATCTGCACAGGCTATGCATAGAATACTGTGGTGGTAGCATAGCAGTAACAGCAAGTTGTCTGACTTTGGATTACTAATAATGCTGACTTTTGTTCAGCTCAGTTTTTCATATATTAGCTATTACACTCCTAAACAGATGAAAGCATGAAACTAAAGCAATAAACTGAAGTATTGTGCAGTGTTTTACACTAGCAGGCAGCCATGTAAATTTCTTTTTCTTTCAAAAGGGATTCCAGATAATTAAGGATCATGCTCACTTTTCCTTTTTTTTCTCCCTTATTCTTTAGGGTGAACAAATAATATAATTTATCTGACCAAAATCCTTCATTTTTTTAAAAAATAGAAATTTGTTAATATAAACCAATACAAAAATACCTTAAAAGTGAAAAGAGACCTGAATACAAATGCATGCAGAAATAGAAAAAATAAAAGGAAAAATACAATGGGAAGGAAAACCTGAAAACAATTGAGAATTCAATACCGCATTCAACTATCACATATTTAAAAAGGGGTGTGTGAGAGAGAGTCAATTCAGCTGTCAATAAAGCCTCTCCACAAGTTTACCTGCAGGGGGTTTAGTGGGCTGTTCAACAGAGTTAACATATGAAAAAACTTTTACCATGTCAAATAAAAAAGATATGTTTTTAATGAACACTTAAGGACTCTCCATTTATGTGTCAGATATTCTGATCTTTCGCTAGCCACTCCTCTCAGGAAGGACATGATTTGGACTTCCAACAGGAGGCCACTAACAATCTAGCTGCAGAAAGAAAGATAAACACAAGAGGTTTATGCACGATGGGCGAGTTGGTCTGGGGATAATACCTGTGAGCTGATAATGGAGATAGAATCAGAATCCTTCATCAAAAAACAAAGAACCAAGGAAGTTGATGAACAGCCAAAACAAAGATTGTATCAGTTAAGTTCTCTGTATATTTCATAATAGTTTGCTGATAAATATAGAGGAACTGATGTAAAGAGGCCTTTTCAGACATTCTGTAGCACCTGAATATTTTTGCTTTGGTATCAGTATTATTGTTATAAGATGCCGCATTTACTCGATTCTAATGCTCACCTTTTTGGGCCAAATTAAGTTGCAAAAATTGATGTGCGCATTAGAATTGATGACACTTTTACATTCGCCAGCAAATACTTTGGTTTCAAGGTTCTGAAAACTGAGGTGTGCATTAGATTCAATGACGCATTAGACTTGAGTAAATACAGTAACAACTATGGGCCCATAAGATATACTATTGAAAACCACTGAAAAAAGACATATTTTTGGAAAGATGCACTTACCAATACACACATCTATCTTGCCTTTGATAGCAGCTTCATGCAGAGGAGTATAATTCCAGTTGTCTCTGGCATTTGGATCTGCACCCTGACACAGCAACAGGCTGACTACCTCAGCATGACCGAATGAACAGGCATTATGAAGAGGTATCAATCCACCATCGTCACGAGCGTGGACATTGGCTCCTGTCTGTAATAGGTGTTCCACTACATCCTTTCTTCCAAAACCTGCAAAAATACGTAATTTGAGAAAAACCATTAAAATGATGAACTATACAAACATTTAGAACAAACAAATATATATATAGTTCACCTAGTACATTGTGCAAACTAAGACTTAGATTGGATTCATGAATATGGAATACTATTTTCTTGCTAATTTCATGTAGTTTAGGGTAGCTCCTTCCTACCTGTTTGTACCACCAGAGGGCCAAATCACAACAGTAAATACATTTTTGCATTGGCATCTGTGTATTTGGTGGTGGTTTTCAAGAAGTAACCACAGCAAGTCCCAATCTGGACTAGGATCACACAACATGTGGACGCAGATTCAACCCTTTCCTCTATTGAAACAGCCCCAATGAAATCCCTGATGAAACTGCCATTTTAGCAAGGTCTCCTTCCTATCAGTCTAAATAACAAAAATGTTATCAATGGTATAAGAGCACTGAAAAGGTACTGTTCTAAGGCACACTTTTGGGTCATATGAGTAATTATTTTAGTGCAGTTGAGGACAGACACAGAACTGAACAGCTTGAAATCCCATGCCATAAGGCTAACAATGCTCAAGAAAATGGGGCAGCAAACACCAGATCCCTGCTTAAGAGTCCTGTGAAATGCTTAATATATTTGCTTCTCTATTTCTATAGCAAAACGCTTCCACAGATGGCACAGTTCTTTTGGTATTCTGGGATCCAGATGACCTATTGACCATGGTGCTAGTAAATTGCGTCAGCCTCCCATACACAACCGAACTTCATGACGAGACTAGCACCTTCTTTTTTACTATGCCCAGTGGGTTTTTTCTGAGGCTGAGGATTCTTTGTATCTGAGATTATGAGCAAGCAGCATCACTTACTGCATAATCTCAGCCTGAGTACAAAACCATAATTTTAAATCAATAGTCCTTACACTAGAATATTTAACCCAAAAAAACCTATGAGATATGTGGAGAACTAGTGTTCTCTTCTCACAGTTCACCTTTAAAAAAAAAAAGGATAAAGAGACCCCTTTATTTCCAGTCTCATCTCTTGAAGGTTTTTCATTCAGCAGTAGCTCCAGTTGCTATTATGTGCACTTGTAATCTGACTTCATCATTTCTGAACACAATTGACTAAGGATGGGTATTGTAACCCAAATGAGACAGCGCTAACGGCTTTAATAATGGCACTTTTACTTGTCTCTATTTCTACAACACCCCAAAATGAAATGTGCCTACTCTGTAGTTATGAGCTCCACATTTCTCTGCCTTCAGGGTTGAAACCCCAGAACATGTAACAAACTAGCTATTAACTGCCAAGAGCACAGGATTAAATTACCTAGTACTGGATTTGACTAAGATTTTTATTTGCAAATTGTCCTAGTCCAGAAGCTCTTGGTGGCTTAGAATGGTGTGGAAAGAATGCAGAATTGGTAAGAATATTTGTACTTGGTGCTGCACTTGATTTGTAATTTTTTTTTACATAAGTGATCAAGCTTGCTAGGGCCAATACTGAATTTACTGCATAGGGTAACAAGGCCTAGGGTTCATAGTCTGGGTGCCCAATGATGTATTTTGAGTCAACCTGTAATTTTAGTGTACCAGACATGTTCAACTTTCTTAGTTATTAGTCAATAAAGCCATATATCTCAAACTGCCAAAAAGGTACTGATTGGTATTGTCTGGTTTTGGCACCGGCATATAAAGGAGACAAACAAATTTCCAGTTTTATTCCTTTGGTACCCAACTATCATGTTTTTCATAATACTGCACTGGTTTTGATGGTGCACGGAAGAAAAATGTTTAAGTCATCCACTGAGGCCCCCACTCATTTTCAAAGAGTCCATGACAAGTTTGAAAACTGCTGTCCTAGACAAAGGTGTAAACAATACAATTTTTAAATAATAACTGCAAATAGTGAGTAAAATTGTACCTACATACAAAAAAGTAATGCAAGCAAAAATATGAATTTGATTTGGAAAAAACACGCGTCGCATATAGCCTAATAATAAACAGTAGTTTCCGATTCTTGTCAAAATTGTCTGTGAGTTGCAAGGCAGAAGGGGACAACATGGATGCCTTTCAGGAATTCTTAAATTTGGTAACTAGTGTGAGATCAGGGCCACCTATGTTTGGGAGAAACCTACTTGAAAGAAGGAACAGCTAGTTTTGGAAAAGAAAAACTTGCTTACTCCTCATATTGTTCAGCTGCTAGACTGAGCTACAAGAAGTTTTGTTCAGAGAAAAGGAAAAAGAAAAATTGGCCCACCAGAAGACAGTCATCCGTGTAGTGCAGGAGACACTACATCCCCCCAACTCTTCTTCAAATTGCTCAGGGCATGCTTCCCTCCCCCCATTCTATCTCACAACCACCCCATGAGGTAGAATAAGCTGAGAGGGCCAGCCAGTGAGCCTCATGGCTAAGTAGAGATTTGAACATATGTCTCCTCAAAGAGGGGGGACCTGCACCAAGGATGGGAACTTCTAATCTATGAGGTGGATGCTGTCACATGTTTAATCATAGAATCATAGAGTTGGAATAAACCACAAGGGCCATCGAGTCCAACCCCCTGCCAAGCAGGAAACACCATCATTAATCTCAACCAGCCTCTAAGCATTTCTAGGGAGCCACTTCCTTCCAGAAAGGGCCAGAGGGTACAGCAACCAATTGAGTGCTGCTACTGGAAAGTGCTCCAAGATTCCCCCCTCACCTGTCTTTCCTGCTCCAAGAGAAGTATTAATTCATAGTGTCTTCACTCCCGCCTCTCTCTAGGAGTGGTAGTTATATTGTTTAGGCCAAGCATGGCCAAACTTGGCCCTCCAAATGTTTTGGGACTACAGCTCACATCATCCCTAGCTAACAGGATCAGTGGTCAGGGATGATGGGAATTGTAGTCCAAAAAAACATCTGGAGGGCCAAGTTTGGCCATGCCTGGTTTAGGCTAATCACTTGATCCCCACCTGAGGAGCTAAGCAAAACCCCAGCATTATCTTCCAGCCATTACAATATATGAACCTATGATATTTATAAGAGAATAGAGTACAGTTAATTACCTGACTAATAGTTGTGTGCAGCCCCCAATTGATTTTTTTCTGTGGGTCAGTTGCCCTTGATACTAAAAAAGGCTCCATGAACATGGCACAGAAAAACACCCTAGGAAATCCCAAGCTGAGCTCCTTAAGGTCAGGCACATCCTATTTGTTCAGCTCAGCAAATCTAATAAATACCAATGGGATTTGCATCAATTTTTTCATGTAACCCCTTTAAACCAACTTTTTGAACACTTTCTTCAGTTGACATAAATCCTTTAAAACCGTGGGTATTAAAGTAAACATTTTATATGAAGTAAACACCAGATACTGGTCTGATGTCCTCTTGAACCTAAAAGCTACATAAATATGGATTGTATCTAGTGTTATGTCATATTCAGGCTAGACCCTTTGAAATTGATGTACATGACCAATTTAGGTCCATTCATCTCAGTGGATCTACTCTGGATACCACTGAGTTGCATATACCTGCCATGTATGATCTTCCTGAGAGTCCTGCATTGTAGGGGTTGGACCTAGATGACCCTCAGGGTCCCTTCCAACTCTACGATTCTACGATTCTGTAAGTACAGATGTGGACTTGTCCTTTTAGTGTGACTTTCAGGAAAAGTCCTAAGCTCTAACTAAGATACACAATACTTTTGAGAAAAGAGAAGCATTAGTTCTATACTTACTAGAGCCTCTTCACTCATTACATGGCAACAGAAGCTGAAGTTTGCCAACAAGAATACACTAAATTAGGAGGTGCAGACTCTGCTGGCTCTCTGAGACAGTTCTCACAACTAGCCTATTTATTTATTTATTGAATTTCTATACCGCCCTATACCTCAGGGAGATTCACAGGATAAAATCTGAATATAAAACCACAAAGTAGATAATCATAATAAAAAACAACAACCCAACAACCCCCCCCTTCCACAATTAACTGCTCATGTGAACAAATCTGTTTTTCAGTGGTGGCCTTTTCATTTGTAGAATGCTCTTCTCAGTGCATTCTAAAATGTAATGCTCATCATTTAGTGGGGGCGAGGTGGGACTTCTTGTTCCTATTGTGTTGTAGGATAAGAGTTTAGGGATTTTGTATTGCACATCATTTGCTAGATTTTTGGCTTTAAATTTATTTATTTATTATTTTATCTTGTTAAATCACTTTATGACTTTTTTGCTACAAAGTGACTAACAAATGTAATAAATGTTATATAATATTTGCACGAAAAGGCCAATAAAGTAACTCATGCAAACTCTCCCTCCATACTCCGCAAACTCAATAAATCACACTGTACTTTGGAGACAAGAATAGCAATCTCACACAAGTTTATCACGCCAACACTAAACTGCTCACAAAGAGTGGGCAACTCATGGTAGCAGTTATCTGCAGAGAAAAATAGCAGATTCTAATTCACAAAAACTTATACCAGTCTAAGGTATCATAAAAACCTCAACCACAGAATGCAGTAGTAGCCAATGTGGGGCCCTCCAGATGTTTTTGGACTACAACCTCCATCATCCCTGACCAACGGCAAAGCAGGCTGGGGCTGATGGGAACTGCAGTCCAGCAATATCTTGAGGATAACACATTCACTACTCCTGTGCTAAAATCTGTACCAACAGGATACAAGTGGTTGCCTCATCAACATTTTACGGTATACACCTGAAATATTAATAGCAGTAATGTTGCAATATGTGAAGTGGTCCTTAGAAGCATCTGTTGCTTCACCTTAAAGTGACATCAAGGGCCTATGGGCCTCTAGTCTACACCCTTCTCCTTTAAGAGGTGGCGAATGAAGAACTTAAAAAGCTCATGACCATTCACCTCTCCAGGGTGGCTTAGTTTATAGCAGGCCCACAGTCAGAGAACTTTCAAGGCCTTCTTGTCTTCCCTCATCACCCCTGCTGTGAGTCCAATATTAGCAGAGAGAGAGAGAACAGATGGGCATTCCTTCTGGGCAGCTAACTAATCACCAATTCTCCTTGCTATTCCTTTGAGGGGGGGAAAGTCTGGGCAGAGGCAGCTCTTACCTGAAAGGATTTGTTCCTCCCTGCTGGACTGCCCAAACAGAGCAGGAGGAGGCAGCAGCAACTCCTCCCCTTGCTTGCTTACTTACTTATATACTAGGCCCCCGTCCTCCAGAGACTACCACCCACAAAAAAGGGGAAAGTGAATGAAAAAGAGCAGTGGGGTGGATGGCTGCCCCAGGGAGGCAGCAACCACCACCTCCTACCCCTTGGTTTGGTTGCTCATTTCCCCCCCCCCCAGTAGGGAAGTGGGAATCTGTCAGAGGGCCCAATCCTCCCAATCGGGCAGCCCAGAAAGGGCCAAGTAGGCAGAGGCTGCTCCTGGAAAGGGCAACTACCGCCTCCATGCCCCTTCCCTTGCTGCCCCTGTGTGGGACACACACACATAGATGCATGATTGCTGCGCAGCCCTCGGACTCTGGGCTGGAGGAGGAGCTGTTGATCCAGCCACTACAAGCAGAGTGGACCACAACAAGCAGGGCGGAGGCCCATCTACCTCCACCCACCCACCAGCAGGAAGCCAGCCGCCAGGGTGTCAAATTATAAATAGACAAGTTTTCTGCCCTCTCTGCCTCTGATCTGTGCGGAAGGAGCATCCCTACTGTATTTTAATATTTGGTTAGAAGCCCCCCAGAGTGGCTGGGGAAGCCCAGCCAGATAGGCAGGGTATATTATTATTATTATTATTATTATTATTTAGAAAGTAAATAGCCTTTCTGCCTCTTCTGCAACCATGTTCAACCTCGTACAGATCCTGGGGAAGTGAAATATTGGGGTGCAAAACCAATGACAAACCTAGACAGCATCTTAAAAAGCAGAAACATCACCTTGCCAACAAAGGACCGTATAGTTAAAGCTATGGTTTTCCCAGTAGTGATGTATGGAAGTGAGAGCTGGACCATAAAGAAGGCTGATCCCCGAAGAATGGATGCTTTTGGATTAAGGTGCTGGAGGAGACTCTTGAGAATCCCATGGACTGCAAGAAGATCAAACCTCTCCATTCTGAAGGAAATCAGCCCTGAGTGCTCACTGGAAGGACAGATCCTGAGGCTGAGGCTCCAATAATTTGGCCACCACATGAGAAGAGAAGACTCCCTGGAAAAGACCCTGATGTTGGGAAAGATGGAGGGCACAAGGAGAAGGGGACGACAGAGGACGAGATGGTTGGACAGTGTTCTCGAAGCTATGAACATGAGTTTGACCAAACTGCGGGAGGCAGTGGAAGACAGGAGGGCCTGGCGTGCTCTGGTCCAGGGGGTCACGAAGAGGCGGACACGACTCAACAACAACAACGACATTCCCTTCCCGGATTAAGCACACTTAAGCATTGCAAGGGGGCCGTTCCCCGCAGGCACCAGAGGACCCTCTCGGGGCAACGCGCCCGTCCCGCCTCGCCCCCCCCCCGTCGGCCCCTCACCTGCCGCGAAGTGCAAGGGGGTGGATTTCCTCCCCGCCATATCCTTGGCGTTGACGTTGGTGGCATCCACCAGGCGCCGGACGCGGGTCACGTCCCCATTGCGACAGGCCTCCAGCAGCTCCCGGAAAGTGCCGCTTCCCACGGGCGCGGAGGGCGGCTGCAGAGGCGGGGCGGGCGGCTCGGGGCTCTCGGCGGCGGCCGGGCTGGAAGCGGCCGAGGACGACGACGACGGCGACGAGCCGGAGCTGCTGGTGCTGCTGTTGGCGGCGCTGCTGGCGCCCGAGCCCGGAGGGGGAGGAGGCCCGGCGGCCTCGCAGACGCTCTCCGGGGAGAAAGGCCTCTCCGCCGCCACCGCCGCCTCCCGGCCGCTGCTCCCGTGAGCCTCCCCCTCAGGTCCGGCGAGGCTGGGCCTCTGCTGAGGGGAAGCTCCGAGGGGGGAAAGGCTGGGGCTCTGCGGCGGCGGCGGCGAGGCGGGAGTCGCGGCCGGGTGGTGAGGCGGGTGATGCTGCTGCTGCTGCTGCTGGGAGCGACGCGACGACGAAGCCGCCGCCATTTCCCAGCTCTTAAGAGCGGCCCGGTCCTGTCACTGCGGCAACGGCGACGGAGCGCCCGCCCTCGCTTCCGCCTCCTCGCAGCCAATCGGCGCCCGGGCTGGGAGGACGTGACGTCACGCGTCGGGATGGCTACGGAAGCGCGTAGGGAACTGGTTCCCTGCGCGGGGCCTAAAAGTGAGCCAGCTCTTGCCTGCTGACTTGGGAGTAAGCGCTGCTGAAGAGGGGAGCTTACTTCCAAGGAAACAGACGGATAGGGCTTAAGACTCTCTTCCTTGTATTTTTATTGTATTTCAGTGTTTTGTTGGAAGCTGCCCAGAGTGGCTGGGGAAACCCAGCCAGATGGGCGGGGTATAAATAATAAATTATTACAATATTATTATTCTCTTTCCTACACACTTTGCTGACATCAGAAGGGACTCCCGCTATCCATTTCACCTGTACTTAGCCAATTCTTTAGTTATGCAAAGTCTCCTTCTCACAAAAAAGGGGTTTATCTGCTAGATTAAGCTCGCCCAGCTGGTTTGACCTCTTTTTATCAGCCACTTCTATAGGAAGGGCTATAAAATCAGAGGCCTGGAGGGGATGCCGGAAACCTATTTACAGTCCAATTCCAAACTTAATTAATTTACGACAAGATAACTGCAATCTCAGTTTAGGCACATGCAATCTTGAGAGTCTTCCTGCCTACTTGAATTCTGCTTTTAAAGCTGAGCTTCTCTTTGTTCCTGTGGATGTTTACTATCCAAGCTTCATTAGTGTGCGACCCAGAAATTCTGGATGCCAAAGTTTTGTGCTGCAAACCCTGCGTTTTGTGCCGCCCCACCCCCAAACTGAATGACAACAGCAAATCGGGGCCACAAGTTATTGCCAATAAATCCAACCTTGTCTAATTGACTCCAAGCAGGTGCCTAAGTTTTGTGCAGTTTTTGCTGCAAATCTCATGTTTTGTGCTGCTCTCCAAAATGAGTAATTTACACTTGTTATTAGAAAAAACTGCTCACTTTCCCTTTTGGGATATTCCAGTGGGATATTAAGTGGGTTCCCTATCTGTACGAGAAAAATAACAAAGGCCAACCAGAAGTAAAGCGGCTAGTAAGCCTGATCTTTATTGAAGGAAAATAAACTGTTGCAACAGGGTCCCCACTCACGAAAAGCAGGAGGGAGGGAAACCCTGAAGAATGGGGCGCAAACCCTTACATAGACTTGAAGTTGACCACCCTGTAGCCCAAGACCATCCCCCCCCCCAAAAAAAAAATCACACATACATCACAGAAGGAGGTGGTATACAGCAGAAATCCTGTCTGCCAGGATACCTGATAATTGTCACTGATTGCATTACCTGGGCAGTTTGGCCATTCTTTTGTGATGCTTAACACTTTTGTTCCTGACTCTAGGTCACAGGCTCAACCTATTCATATACAAATGTGCCCTTAAGACAGGATTTACAATCAAAAAGACAATGAGAAGGCTTCCCCCAATGTAGAGGAATATTTGAGGTCATTGGGAGAGTCAAAATGGCTTCAGGATTACTCTCCCATATTATTTCAGACTCATGGTTCATATATGTGTGCATTTATGAATAAAAAAGGTAAAAATAAAGGACCCCTGGATGGTTTAGTTCAGTCAAATGCGACCATGGGGTTGCGGCGCTCATCTCGCTTTCAAGCCAAGGGAGCAGGCGTTTGTCCACAGACAGCTTTCCGGGTCATGTGGACTAAACCGCCTCTGGCGCAACGGAATACCATGATGGAAACCAGAGCGCATGGAAATGCTGTTTACCTTCCCACCACAGCGATACTTAATTATCTGCTTGCACTGGTGTGCTTTTGAATTGCTAGGCTGGCAGGAGCTGGGGCAGAGCAACAGCAGCTCACTCCATCACTGGGATTCGAACCACCGACCTTCTGATTGGCAAGCCCAAGAGGCTCAGGAGACCACAGTGCCACCCGTGTCGCATTTATGAGTATTCTATATTTGAGACCTTAAAATTCTTATAACACACTCAGACAGGGGTCACAAGGAAATGGCTAAACCTCCAACTTTGTCCAACTGATTGCAAGCTGGTGCCAAAGTGGTGTGCTGGTTTAGTGCTGGTTTATGGCGCAAACCTCACTTTCTTCTTTTGTCAATTAATTTTTATTTATTTTTAAAATTTATAACACATCAACACCAAATTAAAGCTAATTTAATACATTTCCAAAAAAAACTGGCTTCCCAGTCTCTTTCTCAGATATTTCCATTTCTTCCCCTTTTTCATTCTGCTTATTTTACAGATTTATCTCTAATTAACATCCATTTATTTAAAGCAAATTCCTCATCCCTCAGTTGTCCGTTTACCAACTCCTGCGTCTATATAAAACAAAATTATCTGATACTGACTGACATTTACAGACTCACTCTGAGGCAGACAGTATACTTGCTGCTCTAACAGTTAAAACTTAACAACAGTTGATAATTCAACTAACTGGGGGTGGGAAATGCCTCAGGCATATGACATAGCAGGATTCTGTGCTACAGCATTAACCCTTTGCATATTATTTTGGATGCACCATTTCCACATTCTGTGATAATAACTGGAGGAATCTCCACCTAAGGGGAGACTCTTTCAATCAGAATTCTTTAAGTCCTTGGTAGCTGAGGCAAGATGGATTCTAGAACTACCAGATGAGCAGCCCAAAGCCTTGGAAACAACAGAGCCAACTTCATCCAAAATAGAATCAAGAGTTTCATTTGATTATGTTACTTAAATTGTGGCACTGTTATTCATATTAGGGGTGGTGTTTGGTTTTGCATGTGGAATTTGTGTTGTATTTCTTATGCTGGGCTGTATCCAGCATTCTCTTTCAGATGAGCTTTAATGTTGCCCAACAGAGGAATCCGACACATCAGTTGCAAGGGGAATTGTGCGAGATATAAAATATAGTCACCAGGGGGTGTTCTCTACTAGGGATGGGATGATCAGAGAATTCCAATGTGCTTTTGGTCTCACTGGAACTCAGAGGTTCCTTGCACCCTGTTCCATCCTGCTGTGTGCACTCTTTATGTGAAATACATGCTTTTCAATGCATACACCAGAAAGAAATTTGTATGCAACTTTTTACATTAAAAAAAATTGCTAGTGCACAGAAATACATTGCAAAATGTGAAGAAGCAGGGGTTTGTTTTCAGGAGCATAAAAAGGTAAAGGGACCCCTGATCATTAGGTCCAGTCGTGGCTGACTCTGGGGTTGCAGTGCTCATCTCCCTTTATTGGCTGAGGGAGCCGGCATACAGCTTCCGGGTCATGTGGCCAGCATGACTAAGCCGCTTCTGGCAAACCAGAGCAGCGCACGGAAATGCCGTTTACCTTCCTGCCGGAGCAGTACCTATTTATCTACTTGACGTGCTTTCGAACTGCTAAATTGGCAGGAGCTGGGACCGAGCAACGGGAACTCACCCCGTTGCAGGGATTCGAACCGCCAACCTTCTGATCGGCAAGCCCTAGGCTCTGTGGTTTAACCCACAGCACCACCCGCGTCCCTTCCAGGAGCATAGCATATAATTAATTCTCTCCCCAAACTGCCCCCTGCCAAATTTGTCTTCTGTACAGCCCAGGACGTCCATACACACTGCCCAGGCTTGCACCCTGGGTAGGTCACTTTGGTCCTGCTAATGCAGCAATTTGACTTCACCTCCTGAGGCACACTCCATTGTCTCTGGAGACAGACATATCCCAACAACACGATAAAGGTTCAGCATCCAAAATGGACCAAAAAGGGGAGAGGGGAAATCACAAGATACATTTCAGCCTCACAGATTTCAGGCCTTGCAACAGGGGTTGAAATGCAAAGTTGAAACCAATTGCAGCGGATCTCTGATGATACAAGTCTTCCTTTTATCTTTGCTGTCAACAGCCAAGGCCAAAAGTTAATCATGTTACTCAGATAACCACATGGAGGCAGTCTTACTGCATTTACTAGTTAACTTTATTCCACCTTACTCAGCCAAACCTTTTCCAACCTTAACTGTTTTTGAGCTACAGCTGCGTACACCCACAACCACCTTCAAAGCACATTCCCCCTCCCAAATAATTCTGAGCACTGTCACTGACTTCCCACAGAGCTGCAATTCCCAGCAGCAACCCTTACCAAATACAGTTAAAACTTTGTTAAGGGAGAGGTTTTCAGACTTTCCACCTCCAGGGGAACTCTTTCCACATTAGCTTGCCTGCTGAGCACATCTGTCAGTGCATTACAGATTGTCCTGGGGCATATTTGGGAGGGAGGGAGGAAAAAGCATGCTCTGCCCAAGCAAGGCACCGGCCAGGATTCTTGGAACGCACGATGAACCAAGAGCGACCCCCTGACACGCCAAACATTGCAGAAGTTCAGTGGAAGCAGGCATGTTATCCTTCAAGAAAGCATGCCTGTCAAAAGTGATCTTCTCTTTGAATATCATCTAATAAGCCTTGCAATGGGACGCGGGTGGCGCTGTGGGTTAAACCTCAGCGCCTAGGACTTGCCGATCACATGGTCGGCGGTTCGAATCCCCGCGGCGGGGTGCGCTCCCGTTGCTCGGTCCCAGGGCCTGCCAACCTAGCAGTTCGAAAGCACCCCCGGGTGCAAGTAGATAAATAGGGACCGCTTTATAGCGGGAAGGTAAACGGCGTTCTGTGTGCTGCTCTGGTGCCGGTTCACCGGAGCAGCTTCGTCATGCTGGCCACGTGAACCGGAAGTGTCTACAGAAAGCACTGGCTCCCGGCCTCTAGAGTGAGATGAGCGCACAACCCTAGAGTCTGTCAAGACTGGCCCGTACGGGCAGGGGTACCTTTACCTTTACCTTTTACCAGCGGGAAGGCAAATGGCGTTTCTGTGCGCTGCTTTGGTTCGCCAGAAGCGGCTTAGTCATGCTGGCCACATGACCCGGAAGCTGTACGCTGGCTCCCTCGGCCAATAAAGCAAGATGAGCGCCGCAACCCCAGAGTCGGCCACGACTGGACCTAATGGTCAAGGATCCCTTTACCTTTAATAAGCCTTGCAAGGTTTCCCAGCACTTTACAGTGGCACCTCGGGTTAAGA